AGGATTTTGAGGAAGAGCTCACGACAGAGAAACAAGCCAAAGTATTTAAATGACTACACTATCTTGGCTTTAAGCGCAGAATCCTTTGTCGAAGATGTTCCACAACATTTTGACGACATACAAGGACGAGATGATGAAAGGCAGTGGATGGATGCGATAAATGAAGAAATTACATCTCTTGTCGAAAACAAAACCTGGGACTTAATACCATTGCCTCCTGAAAGAAAGATCATCGATAACAGATGGGTTTTCAAGATAAAAAGGGATAAAGACGGAAATATCGACAAATACAAGGCACGTCTGGTAGTGAAAGGATGCTCTCAACGAAGAGGCCTGGATTACGAAGAAACATATGCGCCAGTTGCGCGTCTCACTACGGTGCGAACCCTTCTATCGATAGTCAACCAACTCAGGCTAAAAACTAGACAGCTAGACGTTAAAAATGCTTTTCTACACGGAACTATTGATGAAGAAATATACATGAAATTACCTCAAGGATTCACCCAAGGTAATGGCCTCGTATGTAAGTTGAATCGTTCCTTATACGGACTGAAACAAGCTCCACGAGCATGGAATGCTCGATTCAACGAGTTCATCTTGGCCCTAGGATTCAAAAGATCAGAACGAGATCACTGTCTCTATGTAGCAACATCCCAAAGGTGTCGGCTGTATCTACTGCTTTATGTCGATGATATTATCATTGCAGGCCAAGATGAAATCCAGATTCAAGAGATTGTTAATGCTCTTAAAAATGAATTCGCTATGACGGACATTGGCGAAATTGAAAGTTTCCTCGGAATAAAAATCGAGCAAACATCAAGAGGCCTATTTTTGAGCCAGAGAGCATATATGGAAAAAATGCTCACTCGCTTTGGAATGACGGAGTGCAATTCTTCCAAATCACCCATGGAAGCAAATCCTGAAAAACAAGAAAACGACGACGGAGAAGTCATAAATGAGATAAAACCATACAGAGAGCTCGTTGGATGTCTGATGTTTCTTATGCTCAACACACGTCCTGACATAAGTGTTACTGTAAACTATTACAGTCGTTTCCAGAACAATGCGAAATTAACTCATTGGAAAGGCCTTAAACGAGTTCTTCGATATATTAGAGGCACTCTCGACTATGGACTGCTTCAAACGAGGCTTAGATCCAGAAACACCACTCCAAGTCTACGTAGATGCAAATTGGGCTACAGACAATGATCGCAAGTCAACTACTGGCTTTCTACTTCAGGTCTTCGGTTCTACGGTAGCTTGGTCAACGAAAAAGCAAACTGGAATCACCCTCTCGTCTACTGAAGCAGAATATGTTGCTTTGGCAACAGCTTTGACGGAAGCAATATGGCTAAAAGGACTTTTAGAGGACTTTAATGTGAATAGTGCCTATCCCATTGCAGTGTTTGAGGACAATCAATCTGTGATTCATCTGTTAAGCCGATGGGAACATCGTAGATTAAAACATGTTGATGTTAAATACAATTTTGTTAGAAACATGTACCAAAGCAAAGAAATCAACGTGCATTACGTAAATACCAAAGAGCAAACTGCCGATATACTTACGAAAAGTCTCACAGGAGACCAATTTGTTAAGCTTCGTTCTTATATTGGTGTTTGCAAAAATTAAGCTATATTTACATTTATGTTACGGCTCATACATTGAGGCGGAGTGTTAGATTGAGCAATGTATAATCTCTCTCTACACTATGTAATCTACGTTCTAAATTCTAGTTTCGTTTCTTTTATACTTTCTTACTTCATGACTCTACTCGAACAGTTACTGGATATTAAAAGTTGCAGCTCAATGAATCTGTGGTAATACTTATTTCGTCCACCCCTTATCCTCGCTACTCTAACATCATCAGTGTCAAATACTAATTTGATATTTTCTTGCCAGAAGCAGTCGTTAGATAATAGAATAGCATGATCAACTAAATTATATATAGTGTTGATTTTATATTTTAACGGGTGGTTAGAATGATAGTTAATGTACCTCCCTGACCATGTCGGTTTCCTAAACCAGTTAGTAATCAGAGTATTCCCGGACCGAATAACTTTGACATTCAAAAAACTAATCGATGAATCAGCTTCAATTTCATATGTAAATTTCAAGCGTTCGTGATAGTTATTAAAGCTTCTTAAAATTTCGTTAATTCTTTCACGTGGTACTATTGCAAAAAGTTTTCAAAATTTTTCAATAATCCTTTGATTATTCGACTAGCGATACTAAGATATTTATTAATTTTAATTATGTATATATATATATATATATATATATACTTATATATAAATAAATAAATATACAGTGGTGGTCATGAAAATAGAGCCATTAAAAAAGGAAAACAACAATCAGTAATAAAAATACTAAAGTTTAAATTTGTACTAAATTTACTTCATCATATTATTTATTCCAAATATAAGAGACAACAAACAAATTTTCATTTTATTGCAACTTATATTAAGATAGAAGAAATGATAAACTAATATAAATGTATTAAATTCTTTGGTCATAAAAATAGAGCCATAATAAAAAAAGTAACACTGAAACACTTAAACTAAAAATTGACAAAAAATTTCGTTATTAAAGTAATTCTGTATAATTAAAGTATTATTAAAGTAATTCTGTATAATTAATATTTTGTCATGTAATCACGATTTTTAATTACTGCCTCACAGCGCCTTGGCATAGATTCAACAAGCTTGCGACACCGCTCAATGGGTATAGATATCCATTCTCTTTGTATTATTTCCCACAGTTCTTTCTGATTTCGAACTTTATGTTTAGAAACAGCAATCTTTAAATCTCTCGACAAATTCTCAATCGGGTTGAGATCCGGAGATTGAGGAGGCCAAGGTATCACATACACTTTATGATCCTTAAAAAATTTTTTTGCTTTCTTAGAAGTATGTTTGGGATCATTTTTATTTTTCAATTTCCATATAAGTGGCATATCTTCCTTAGCAAAAGGCAGCATGATATTTTCAAGAATATGTACATATTTATTTTGATCCATAGTATTTTTAATCCAATAAATTGGATCAACCCCGTACCATGAAAATGCTCCCCATAACTTTATATTGTCACCGCCATGTTTTATAGTATACTTTGGTAACAATTCCTGATTTGGTAAGTATACTTTGGTAACAATTCCTGACCTTCTCACATAACGTCTTCCATCAGATCCCATCATATTTATTTTAGTTTCGTCTGACCATAAAATATTTCTCCATTTTTTAATTCCTTCTGGACCACTCCATTTCATATAATCTTTTGCAAATTGTAATCTGCATCTCACAACTTTCTTAGCAGTTCTACCATTTAAATTACACTCTTGGAGTCTCCGTCGAACTGCGTGCACTTATAGGAAGGTTCAGTTCATTTTTAATTATTTGATGATTTGAATGGATCTATCTTAGAAACACGTACAATTTGACGATCATTCGAGATGTAGTTTTTCGCTTCGGACCTCGAGTTTCTTCATTATTTTTGCGTCTTAATGCATTTTCCACCATTTTTCTAAACAGACCAATAATTTTTGCAATTTCTCGTTGCGATTTTTCTTCGTTGCATAAATTTAAAATTTTTATTCTCTTGTCAGCAAATTTTTATTCTCTTCTCTACAGTGAATATTTCGTCCCATTTTCGCTGCAATTTTAGGTAATTAATTAATTTTCATTATAATTTCACTGTATTTAGCCTATAAAATTACATTAATATTTAACAAACTGTTAAGAAACTTACATTAATAATTTGGCTTTATTATTATGACCAGACTACTTATAGCACAAAACACTATAGGATTCCTCTAACAAGACGTGCACCTTATTTCGGCAGTAATTCGTTATGTTTTTTATTTGATATAAATTGTGTTACTGTACAATAAGTAACATTACCGGCAAGTGAAGACAGACAAAACAATTAGTTTATTAATTTTTATATAGATGGCTCTATTTTCATAACCACCACTGTATATATATATATATACATATATATATATATATATAAATAATGAAAGGAATCAATTGGTGTAAAGAAAACACATAGTTGTTTCTAAGAAAAAATATGTAATTTGCAATTAACAATTCCATATTTTTTCTTAAAAACAACTGTATGTTTTCTTTACACCAATTGATTCCTTTCATTATTTTGTACATAAAAGTATGAAGGTAAGATAATCGAAAAATGAATGGTTTACTAGATATTTTATGGTTTATGTAAAATTAAGAAATTATTTTAACCCTCATAACTCGCAAAGTACTTAATAAAAATGAACATTATTATAGTGTTTTGGAAAGCTCTTGAATTAAGCTATAAGAATATGCAATCAAATGTAGGGGGTGTCATTTAAAAAAGTCAATGTGACCTTGACCTGACCTTGACGACGCCATCCAAGGTCAAACTGATAGAATCAGTATATAGATCTTCTTAAACCCTACAACTTTTGTTGGAAACACTTTTCTGTAAAACGTATATTTTCCGAGATATTTAGGGGTTTCCACACTTTTGGTAGACCCTGTATATATATATAGTTAAATATATTGTAATATAGATTATATTATTTTTATTTATAGTTAAATTACATTAATAATTTTAAACTTTCTCTCCTTGCATTATTATATATATATCCCAGATAGCACAAAGGTGAACATAAGTTCATAGGGAAATCATTTTAAAGAATACTTGTAGAATTAGAAAAATGAATATCTGAAGAATTCTTGAAGAATTATTCATAATCAGTTCGTCTTGAAATATTCCTTATAAATTCATTTTAATGAATACTTTGCGACAGTACTATGAATACTTTGAGAATTTATAAGGAATTACTTGTTATTTTTCCACGCATGCGCGAGACTGTGTGTGTTCGGTTCGGACTTTATTTTGTAATTTCGTGCAGTGTGCAGTGTGCTACATATATGTATTTTGCAATAAAGTGGTAATATATTTATAAGGTGATAATATATTTATATATATTATATCAGACAAAAGTACAGTGCTACGCATAATTATATTAATAATTGGGTGTTATTGAATGGTAAGTATTAGTTGAACTAAATATATTCCTACTACCTAACCTCGAAATAAACGCATGCAATCTTTATTTTTGTTGTTTATTCATTCAGTAAACAAGCTGTTTTAGTTGGTTTGCCAACAGAGTCAATCAAAATCTCTATCTATTGATAAATTTGGATAAATATTTGTCTGCATGTAGTTCATGTACTTTCAACAGGCGATTTCTGATTATATGAATACAAACTTCTATTATATGTTCATATATTACTTTTATATATTAATTTTATATAGAATGTCTTATTCCTATAGTCTTTCTAATGTATAATATAATGTTATATAATTTCATACATATATTTTATTACAGATTTATCAGTCACGTATAAAAGTATCACAATAAGAGATTAGACAAAACTGAAGAATAAGAATAACCAACTATTATAAAAAATAAAAGTAAGTGTATTTATGTGCATTTAATTTTGCATTTTAAGTAATAATAAATGAAAATGAAGCGTCAAGTAAAACCATTTAACGAATTATCAAGATGGCAACGAAATAGACGTTTACATCAAATAAGTATAGAATCAGATATTTTTGAAAATTATAATCTTGAAGAAGAAAGTAATATTAATATAGTCATCCCAACTGAAGAAGAAATCATTGAGGAATGTCAAATAGAAAATCCTTTTATTCCATCACAATGTACAGACTTAATTTAATGAAATAAAAAAAATGCATATAATTGCGAAGTTAAAAAAATGCCTAATATGTAAATGTTCAAAAGAAAAAAAAAATATATATATATAATGTATTTTGACAATTTTCCAGACAAGATAAATAGGAAATTGAATATAATAATACAGCATATATTACAATCAAAAAATAGAAACGAAGGAAATAATAATACACAATTGGAAAATGTTGAATTTTGCCAATTACAAACAAAAGAAGAATTTGATGCATTAGAAAAATCACTTGCGGAGGATGCAAAGAAAGGAGAACAATTAGTAAGTATAAATACAATTTTTATATGTGTTAAATCTATCGAAAGCGGACTTTGTCAAACACGTGTTATTTACAAGTGTGTTATATACATGTGTTGTCAACAGAGTAATGACAGAATCAACTTCTTATAATGATTGTCATAATAAAATTATTTAAGAACAAAAATGAAGCAAATTTCAATGTGACTTGATCAACAATCATCAAGTGCATTAAATTTCTAGCATTAATTGAAGTATAACAAACACATTATAATAATAATAATATATATATATATATATATATATATATATTTATTTATTTATAATATTTTCTCATGAGTAATGTCGTTAACACATTATTATTTTATCGAAAACTATATATATTTTGTTTATCTCATTCAATTATTTATTTAGAATAGTGCAAATAATTTTTTTAAATTTTATAGAAAACTTTTATAAGGCAAGAAGGTGGAAAAGACGCTGGAGACCATATAAGGCGAGCGATGAAGAGAATAATGGCAGATCTCTTAGCTGTGCAATATTCTTGGAGCAGACAAAAGAATACTATCCGGTTTAAAGATTCATTTACTTCAAAACTTATTCTGAGTAAGTCGTAAAAAACTATAACATTCGTACATACATTTTATTTAATTATATATGTAAAATTGAACAAATTTTACGTATAATACATATATACATCTTCCAAAATTATAATTATGAAATTTTTGTTATTTCTTCAACGCTTCTTTTCATGTACATTTCTTTTCCACCAAATGATTTAGTCTACGTAAAGTAATATAAAGTAATATTTGGTCTGTTAAAGATTCTGTAACGTCGCTGCACACATCATCATGTATGAAAAAAATGGAAGATGCTATACAATCATGGTTAAATCACGCATCGGATCGTATAAAAAAAGGAAGGGAAGGAAGAAGAGAGACTCGTGAGTTATTAATTCAAATATTAATTTGATCGAGTTTATGGTAATGAATTAATATTTCAATTACTATAAATATCGAACATTGCTGCAAAAGTTGAGTTCTACGTCATAATTGTCGTATATTTGAAGAAATTAAAATAAATACTATGTAGAATAAAGAAAATATTTTATTTAATTCTGTAATCATACGTGTATGTAAATATATGTATGTATGACATTTTGTATGAAATTTTTCCAGATGCATGATTTAATATAAGAAATATTGCAACAAAAACTGGTACTTTCTTTTTAAATATGTGATATTTAAAAAAAGTTAAAATATTAATATAATATGTGATATTAAAAAATATAATATGTGATATTAAAAAAAAGTTAAAATATTAATAATATTGTGTATTAATTTTTCCTACAAAATTCCTTATGTTTGAAAAAATATACTAAATCTAAAAAAATAATTGATTCAATATTTACAAGAAAATATTTATTTAAATTAAGAAAATATTTATTTAAATAATTGATTTCAATATTTGCAAGAAAATATTTATTTATATTAAGCAAAAATATATTTGAATCAGCAAAATATACATGTATATTTTAATGATTCAAATATATTTTGGCTTAATATAAATAAATATTTTCTTGCAAATATTGAAATCAATTATTTTTTTAGATTTAGTATATTCTTTTAGTGTTCCAAATACTATTCCCATTGAATTCATAAAGTTTACATTTATGGAAATGGAAAAATACTATATGAATACTATATGAATATTATATGAATACTATATGAATATTATATGAATACTATATGAATACTTTAAGAAGTTCTCAAGAATTCAATCATGGTGCATGTAACTTCCACAATCATTCTTATTGTATACATCTATGAATTTCTAAAGAATTACAATTTAAAAAAAAGAAAACTTAAAGATTACTGTTAGAATTCACTGTGCTATCTGGGAATTTGCAATTAACAATTACATATTTTTTCTTTGAAACAACTATGAGTTTTTTTTACACCATTGATTCCTCTCATTATTTTGTACATTAAAGTATTAAAGCAAGATAATCGAAAAATGAATATTTTACTAGATATATTACGGTTTATGTTAAATTAAGAAATGATTTCAAGCCTCATAACTCGAAAAGTACTCAATAAAAAAATATTTTATTATAGTGTTTTGGAAAGCTCGCGAGATAAGCTACAAGAATATGTAATGAGAAAATGTAGATTCCATTTAAGAAATTGAAGGTGACCTTCATGTGACCTTCAAATAACTCTTCAAGGTCAAACCATTGGTACCATCTTATGTCCCCCTAGAAACCATACAACTTTTGTCTGAAACATTTTTCTCTTTCAAGCTTGGTTTTCGAGATATTCGATTGGATGGATTAAAATGGGACACCCTGTATATTGGATTTAATTACTTTTTTAATTACTAAAAGGAACTTTGAATATATATTGGATTTAATTACTTTTTTTGCACTTTCAATCTTTTTGCATTTCTTTTTTGATAGGATATTCTTCAATATCTGTATCTTCATTTGATTGAACACGATGTGCACGATATTTTCTGATTATTTTTGCATTTGCTGAATCACTAATATCAATTAGCTGTTCTGCTAAGGACACTTTCTTCACAGCATTGTCATAATCAGCTATAATAAAATAAATGTTTTCACACAAGTTATATTATAAAACCTTTATACATATTATAAAAACTTTATTATATTATCTTACATGCAGTTTCAAAAATCTGTATGACATTTAAAAATTCCCAATTTTCATTAGGTTCTTCTGTTTTCGAGATAGCTTTCAAAATTTTTCTTTTATTATATGGAGGCCAATAGCATTTTTTCTTATCTGCACTTAATCAAATAGTCAGAATACCAAATATTCCATCATTAAATTCAACAATTGAATACATATTACAGTTTGTTTTTTTATTAATTATATTGTATTAAAAAGAAGATCTGAAAAAATATTTGCAGAAACAAATTTGACAAGAAATACATATTACTGTATGTTATTCTTATTTATAAATTTTTGCAAACATTTTTATTTTACAACTTTTAATAAATTCGTTTTCCAAGCATTAAAATATATTCATTAAGTTTTAAAAAAATTGGTAAAAAAATGTGAAAATATATCTGCACAAAAATTTGTATAAGCGCATAAACATAAAGAAATTGATTGATTTATTTTCTTACATATTTATACGAACTGATCAATTTCTTTCTGATTATGTGCTTATGCAAATTTGTGTAAATATACTCTTATATATACTGTAAATATATATCTATTGCGATTTTATCTTTTATATATTTTTATCTTTCCTTTTTTTCCTCCTTTTTTTCTAATCATCCTACTTGCCACAAAATTGGTACAATATATGGCTTAATTGATAAATCAATTCTGTTGTCTCATCCAACTTTCCATCGGAAGAACATCAATCTTAGCATTAACATCCTATTAAGTAATGGCTACCCTCTTCCGTTTATTTTCAAATACGTGTCCACTAGAATAAAAAAACTCCTTTTCACTAAATCTGATAACCATAATACGTCTAACGGTTCAATTGATGCCGATTCAGGGGATAAAAAATACATAGCGGTTCCATATATAAAAGGTTTATCTGAAAGCGTCTGTAAAGTTTTTAACAACACTGAATTTTCTACGGGTTTCAAATGTTTCAACCGCTTGAACCGTTTCATCAAGGTACACAAGGACGCCACTCCAAAATTAAAAGAAAATAATGTAGTTTATAGAATTGAGTGTAATAATTGCGACGCTTCTTACGTGGGACAGACAAAGAGACATCTTGAAACTAGATTGAGGGAGCACAGGAATAATGCTGGACAGCCTTTCAAATCATCTGTTATCACTGACCATATTATTAATGAAAATCACTCTATAGGATGGGATGAAATTAAAATACTAGACCATGAACCCCATTACTTTAAAAGATTGATTTCGGAAATGATTTTCATCAAAAAACAAAAAAATGGATTAAATAAAATTGAGGATTTATCAGCTTTAAATAATATGTATTTTCCACTATTAGATTCGTTATGATGGTTTGTTTGTCTCGCATTGTGCTTGTGGCTCCTGATCTATTTATATTGCGGTGAGAATAATACACTTTCACATTGTCTTACTGTCTACCGTTGCCGCAACAATGTTTTTAATTTTTAATACCAAGACTCGAGTCTGTGTGGAGGTTTCAAATTTTAGGAGATTTGGTGAGAATTTTTACAAATGGCCTATTTTAATTGTAACGGTTTCCTTAAGTTTCACGCTATTTTTTCTTTTTTTTAATCTTTTATTTCATGTATCTAATTTTGCGTATGTAATTTTTTATTAGAAACCATGCTGTCACACAACACACGTTGACTTTATATTCGAAATGCGACCATATTTTTGAATTTTAACACTTCGTGACTGAAGAGATGCAAGTAAGCATCGAAACGTCTCACTTTTTTGTCGCTCTCTTAATAAATGCGACTTATTGACATTCTTTTTTAATCTTTTGTTTTTTTAAATGACCTACCATCCACAGTTTAGCTCGTATCAGGCTGTTTATTGTATTTATGTTTCTTAATTCGTATTAACGAGCTTTATTATCAAAGTATTTTAATTTATATATTTTTATTGTCACTGAGGAACATGTTGTACTTATATAGATAAAATCCTGGTAAAAAATGTTTCATATATAATTAGACAAAACTGATTTTATATCTAGTTATACAAACTTATATATCAATTTTGTCCATATAAAAATAGATATGTTTATATATAATTGGATATGAATATATATACAGGGTGTTTCATTTTAATCCGACCACCTAAATTTCTCGAAACCTAAGCAAGATAGAGAAAAATGTTTTAGACAAAAGTTGTATGGTTTCAAGGGGGACATAAGATGGTGTCATTAGTTTGATCTTAAAGAGCCACCTGAAGGACACGCGAAGGTCAGCTCCAACTTTTTAAATGGGACACCCTATATGCTTTTGCATATTCTTGTAGCTTATCTCAAGAGCTTTCCAAAACACTATAATTAAGTTAGTTTTCATTAAGTACTTTCCAAGTTATGAGGCTTGAAATCATTTTTTAATTTTACATAAACCGTAAAATATCTTGTAAAATATTCATTTTTCGATTATTTTACCTTAATACTTTTATGTACAAAATAATGAGAGGAATCAATTGGTGTAAAGAAAACTCATAGTTGTTTCGAAAAAAAATATGTAATTTGCAATTAACAATTACATATTTTTTCTTAAAAATAACTATGTCTTTTCTTTACACCAATTGATTCCTCTCATTCTTTTGTACATAAAAGTATTAAGGTAAAATAATCGAAAAATAAATATTTTACAAGATATTTTACGGTTTATGTAAAATTAAAAAATGATTTCAAGCCTCATAACTTGGAAAGTACTTAATGAAAACTAACTTAATTATAGTGTTTTGGAAAGCTCTTGAGATAAGCTACAAGAATATGCAAAAGCATATAGGGTGTCCCATTTAAAAAGTTGGAGCTGACCTTCGCGTGTCCTTCAGGTGGCTCTTCAAGATCAAACTAATGACACCATCTTATGTCCCCCTTGAAACCATACAACTTTTGTCTAAAACATTTTTCTCTATCTTGCTTAGGTTCCGAGAAATTTAGGTGGTCGGATTAAAATAAAACACCCTGTATATTCAAAGTTCCTTTTAGCATTCAACATCACCAGATCATCACTCTTACAGCACAAGATATTCTATGAACATCCTAGAATATTTTATGAATATTTGAATATTCTACGAATGTCCTAGAATGTTTATGGAATATCTTGTGCTGTATGGGCATCTACTAGTATCGAAAATAATGGTATTTATGTTTATAATGTTTATAATTTATGTTTATTATACAGTATATTTACAAGTTATTATATATATTGTAAGTAATATACTATGAGCAGTGCATTTCTAACTTCATTAATTTGTTATTTATAACACTTTTTGTTTTATTATAATATAATTAATTTTTTTTCTCAATTTTCATTATAGATAATGCAATGTTGGCAAAACATGATGTTGACATAATTGTACAAAAAAATACTAAAAATATTTCAATAGATACCACAATGTTGGCAAAAGAAAATGTTGACAATTATACAAGAAAAGGATATCTCCGTCAAAGTATCTTACATTAAAGATATTTCAACAGATATAGATTACATCAAATTTCTAACAAATAATGAAAAAATTGATTATTTAATTGGTGAGTCATAC